CTCCCCCAACACCCCCTTCCTGGCTGCCACGGGCTGAGCAGTTTTCTTCCACCATGCTCTTCTGCCTTATCTCAGGCCCACACTGATGGAATTGGCTGACTAGCAACTGAACTTCTGAAACTGTGAACCAAAATATATTTATCCTCCTCTAAGTTGTTCTTGTCAAGCATTTTGATCATGACAACAAAAAGCTGCCTAACACAGAGATCAATAGAATAGAGGAAGGGGACTGAGAGGGAGAGCAAGGGGAAGAACTGGGAAATGAAATCTACAAAATTATGCTATGTCCATGTGTGAATATACCACTTATATATATACACTATAATACAACAATTAAACAAATGGTTAACAACAACAATAACCACAGAAGGGAGATATGTAGAGCAAACAGATCAGGGTGAGAAAGGCGGAGAGGGATAGGGAAAGTACTTGGGAATGAGACTGATCAAGTTAAGTGCATGTATGAATAAGACAAAATGAATCTCACTACTGTTTACAATTAAAATGTACCAATTAAAAGGATAAAACAAATATTACGACATTGGATACAACGGAAAGACAGAAGAAGATATATAAGAGTTCTTTTTTAAAAAAAAATTACTTATTTTTATTCTTTTTAGTTATACATGACAGTAGAATGTATTTTGACATATATACATGGAATATAACTTATTCTAATTAGGATCCTATATTTGTGCTTGTACACCATGTGGAATTACCCGGGTTGTATATTCAAATACAAGGATAGAAAAGTTCTGCCTGATTAATTCTCCTGTCTTTCAACATACAGTTCTAAAGAACTTGGGAGAGAGGACATGTATCACAGACTAATTAGTAACCTAGATTTTGAGTTAGACCTGGTTTCAAATCCTGGCTCTGCTCTTACCAATTGTGCAAGTTTGGACACGTCACTAATGCCCTCTAACTTTGTTATCTACCTACAAAATAGGGATGATAATAATACCTATCATACGGAATTGTTGTGATAACTAAATGAAAATATACATGAATTTTTAGCTTCATGCCTAAATGATAATTGTTAGCTGAAGAGTTCTATAATTAAGCAAAACCAAATACTCAGTCATTGAGCAAAATTATTAAAAAAATACTTTATTAAAAATAAAAATTAAAAAAGTGTTCATTCACTTTTGATTTTATTTAAGAAGGCTACTAATCTGAAAAAGTAAGGAAAATGGAAAAAATGCTTGAACCAAAATAAAAGCAAAGGAAATTAAAATTTCCAAGTAATTGTTTTATAGATACATAAAGAAACTATTTGTTTTGACAGAAAGCAAACATCTATTATATTCCAATAATGGTTAAAAAATTAGGGCACCTATTTTTATTAGGAAATAAAGTCCTCGTTGGATTCCACTTTATCCATATATATAAAATATGTAAATTTTGACAAGCATAATAATGATCATTTAATGAATTAATACAAAGGTTACTATAACTTAATAATAATTTTAAAAAGAGTCCTGAGATATTAGGGAACTGTTGATTAAACTGTAACCATAAAAAGTTTTAAAAATGCCATGTATGAATTAATATGTTATACTAATGAGCACAGAGCCACCAGTTTCTAAATTTTTCTCAGGCTATTTCTTAAATAATTTGTATATAGCTGTTTTGATCTTAGAAGCCTGTGCTATAGAGCTTGTGGATAAGATTCTAAGGGCCAACTCTGTCTTTAGAGGGGTTAACACTTTCTATTCTTAAAAAATATATATCAGATTTCAATAAAGCCATGTAAAGTTGGTATGAAGCATTTGCTGGAGTTGGGGAACAGAGAAACAACAGAAAACAGCAGAAACACAAAACATATTGAAAACACACATTAAAAAGAGAACTCACCACTGAATTATTTCCGTGATTTGGGCTTCCCAATGTGCAACTGATTCTTTCTTGTCTGCTATATCTTTCACCTCTTCTTCTAACTGTTGGTTGCGCATACTTAAATTCTCATACAAAGTAGTAAGCTGAAAGGCAGTTTTTAAAGTATGCATAACTTTTAGGACCAAGACTTCAAGGTGCTCAGACACCTATTATTACATCTGATAATTCCAATCTTCCACTCAAAAATTCTTGTCTTTTAATTATTACACATCTTCTGGTCACTGAATTTGCTAATAACAAGTACTCTGAATTCTCATGCTTCCTTTGCTTGTCCTTATACCCTACACTAAATCAGTTCTGGTTCTGTGAACATTCACGTTTGTCAGAAGAATGTTAACATCATATCTCTTTGTTTCTTTGTGTCTCTCATTTGCAAATGTCTTTGTCATCTTTTTTTTTTTAAATCAAGTCATAAAGAATTTCAAGCACATTCAAAATGGGACAATACAAGTGAATGCCCATGAGCCTACCATCAATCTTGTTTCATTTATGCCCCTATTCTATTCCCCTTTTTCTTGTATTATTCTAAAAGAAATAACAGAAATTATATATTCACCCATATATAGATCTGAAAATAAGATATATATATACATATATATAAAATAAGATATATGTGTATATATATACACACACATACAAGATATATGTAAGATAAATTGTATATTCACTCATATCTGAAAATAAGGCTATATCTTTTAAAATATAATTATAATATTACCATACTTAAATTTAACAAGTATCATAATACAATCACGTTGGTATCAATTATTCAAATTTCCAGTTATTCAAAATTTGTTAAACTTAATCATGAAACCAATTAAGTAAATGCAATTTAATGGCTTGATATGTCTTTTTAAGTCTGTCTTACAGATTTCTATATAATACTTTTTAATTGTAACTTATTCATTAAAAAAAGTAGGTTGTTAAAAAAAAAGAAAGAAAGTAGGTTGTTCTGTGGAGTTTTTTTACATGCTGAATTTGTGTCTTCACTTTTGCTGCATACAACATTCTAAATTCCTTTTTCTTCTAGGTTCCTTCTCCCATCCCCTTTCTGTTGAGAAGTCAGCTTTCAGCTTTTTACTCCTTTGAATAGAATGAATCTTTCTTCTCTGATTGCTTTTAGGATTTTATGTTGATTGGTTGCTACTTTTCAGCAGTTCTGTGATTTGTCTACATGGTGTTTGGATTCTATCACCTTTAGGGTTTGTGACATTTCTTGAATTTGTGATTAAATGTTTCTTAAAAGCTTTGAGAAATTATAGGCTATTAACTCTGCAAACACTGCTTTTGCCATTGTCTTTTTTCTCTCCTTCAGGGAAACCAAATATTTATTTATTAGTTCTTTTTATCATGTCCTCTACAGCTGGTATTCTGTTTTCTGTACTATTTTTTTAACCTGTCTGTATAATAGTATGTATTGTTTTTAAATGTACCAGTCCTTTATCTCTTTCCAATCTGAAATTTCCTATTACATATTTTGATCTTTTGATTTTTCAATTTTAGAGACTGTTTGATTTTTTTATATGGGCTGCAGAAGTTAAATTCTTCACAATGTTTTCTACTTTCTTGATTCATTACTTTAAAGTCCATTTGTGAAAATTCCATGCTGGAACTCCTTTGGGCTGTTTGCACTGGTGCCTATTTTTTTTTCCTCCCTTCCCATTAACACCTTTGTTTTTGCTGTTACATTTTTTTTCCTCTCCTGGATTTTAGTGTTTTGCTTATTTGCTATTATCCCTGGTAAGTTTTTATTTATGTTTTACACTTATTTTTACTGGATTTATTTATTTATTTTTCTTTAGATGCTATACCATTTAATACGAGCAGTATATTAGTTCCTCCATATCCTTGGTATGCCACCATTCTTGATTACAATAATCATTCTTGAGCATGTACATACAGCATTCTCACTGTCATTTTCATTTACATTTTCCTAATGACTTTGAACATTTTTTCATGTGCTTGTTATTCATACATCATCTTTTACAAAATGTCAATTCCATTTTTTTCTCTACATACTTAAAAAGATTGTTGGTAGGAATTGAGTTTTAAAATTTTTATATGTTGGGCTGGTATTGAGGCTCAGTGGTAGAGCACTTGGGTTTGATTCTCAGCATCACATATAAATGAATAAAATAGAGGTCCATTGACAACTTAAAATTAAAAAAAATTATATGTTATGAATAGAAGTATTTTTTTAATCAGATATACGATGTGGAAATATTTCCTCCCTACCTGTGCATGTCTTTTCATTTTCTTAATTGTTTTCGAATTTTGAAATTCAATGTATCATAGTTTTTCTTTCATAGACTGTTCTTTAAATGTAATTTTCTAACCCCCAAATCACAAAGATTTTCTCTTATATATTTCTTACATTTCAGTTGATGATGTATTTTGAGTTAATTTTAATCTAAGTTCATTTTTCCCCTCAAACATGGATATATAGGTGTTCCAACAACATGTGAAAAGACTATCCTTTTCTCATTGAATTATAACTGAACTGATTCTCCTGAGAAATCAATTCAGCATAAATATGAGGGTTTACATTCAGACTCATTTTTTTGGTTTCATTATTCCAATTCTAGAGGTTTCTTTTATTCCTATATATTTATATTAAGTATTAAGATTACATAGAATGAATCCTCCAAGTATAGGATATTTTCACCAAATATTTTGGCTTTTCTAGATCTTCTGTATAAATTTACATGTAAGCTCATCAATTCTAACAAAAAGCATACCAGAATTTTGACAGAAATGTTCTTGAATTCACTATAGTTCTATCTGGAGAGAATCTTAATAATGAGTCCACCAAGTCATTAACATAGTATATGGACATGTTTGGATAGTTCTCAATGCATTTCAGAAATATTTTCTAAATGATCTTCCTCTGGTCAATTCCAAGAGCTCTGAAATTGTTTCTTTGCTTTGTTTGTTTGTTTGTTTTGGTGGGGAGGATTCATCAATCTCTTCATGCTAGCACAACCACAATTCTACCAGTCATTTTTGAGAGTTGCAAATGCAGCATCTTCTCCTCACTGGTCCCTGCAACACATTCTTTTTTGATCACCACTGTTTCTGGCAGTCTTTCCAATTAATTTGTGGTTAGGGTGTCAGCAGGAAATTTGTAAGAGTAGGAAATGTAGACTTCCCATGCTATAGTACAACAGTTACAGAGAGTTGTTTAAAACAAGTCAGAAAAAAGTTAACCTTTGCATTATTACTGAGTAAGCATGAACTCTGGAATATATTCAAGTCCCAAATCTGTGGTTAGGAAAACAACACAACTTTGACTTGGTATTTTCATCTATAAAGTGGCAAGAATAATAGAGCTTATTTTAGACAATTGTGGAAATGAGTTATATAAAATAAACTCAGAAGAAGACCTACATGTAATAAATTCTACCTAAGTATTAGTTCATTTTGCATGTTTGGAAGGTTTTACTATTTCTGTGTTGAAATATCTGACTTATAATATTTACAACTAGTAGTGCTCTTGAGATTTTAAGTAAAAAGGCATATTAAAAGAATGTATACATAACTGTAATTATGAAATAATATGAGTGTGGAAAATCTGGAAGGGAATATTATAAATTACAACAGTTGTTTTGCGCTGATGAAATTATATGTGACTTTCATGTTAAAAATTTTCTATATTTTTTGCAATGTTGCTTTTGTGTAAAATCATAATTGGAAAACAAGATATAAATTACATATTTTGTACTATAAAAACTATTTAATTTGGGCTGGGGTTGTGGCTCAGAGGAAGAGGGCTTACCTAGCATGCGTGAGCACTAATGTCCTCAGCAGCACATAAAAATAAAACAAAGGTATTGTGTCCACTCACAACTAAAAAATAAAATGTTTTAAAAAAACTTTAATTTTACTCTGGCATACATATAAATTTTATTTGCAAAAACTTTTCTGAAAATATCATTTGTTTGTTTCTATTTGTTTTTTTGTTATTTTTGAGGCTTAAAATGAGAAAATCTACTGTGTGTAACTTTCAACAGTAATAAATGTACAAGTCTGTTAAGAAGGAATCTAGTTTCCTTAAACCTGGTTCCCCATGGGATAGCTGGTAAAGCAATGGCAAATACATTTGTTGGTTATCATTCTTGGGAAAAATAATGAATTTAAAACAAACTGGAAAAATGAAGACATGGATAGATATGATGAAGTTGTGCAATGGAGTGAACTAAGAGTTAAGGAGAGAAGCAAAAATTAAGTAAGGGATCAGAAACAGCAGAGATTCACATGGAAGCAGAGATTCCAGATCTTTTTGTCAGGCTCCTGAAATCATTGTTATTGAATACTCGCCTACCATATGAATTTGCTCTCAAAGTAGGATTATATCCCATATCATACCTTAAAATTCATCAAGAAAAGGTAATGTTCTGTTTTTCATAATCCATCCCTCAGGCTTCTCTACAGATGCTAGGCCTAAATAAGTCCCCTCCTTATGGACATATTAGATTACCAAACAGTTTTAATTAAAAGAGTATTTAAAAATATATTTTTGGTAAACTCAGCAGAGCTTCATATTTAGTAACAAAATTAAACCAAGGACTGAATACAAAATTTGATCTATACTCAATTTGATTATTCTCCAGAGAATTTTTCTTATAGTGTAATAACATTTTTTTTAAACTAGGTAATTTGCTTAGAAGCACTACATGAAGTGGCTTTCTAGAGTTTGATTGTATATAATCTGTGTCTCAAGGTATTGCTTAAGAAAGTCTTAAAATTCTGTCATGCAGAAATGACATTAAATTTTGTAGTTATATTTGTCAAATACATAAAATAACAATTATGTAATCTATTCGGATAAAGTTCAAATATTGTTAGTCTTATTTTGATGAAAATAACTATGATGTATATAAAATAAAGTTCAGACATAATTCATGCTTTAAAAATCCATTTATGCTACTTATTCTTCAGCTACTTTTCATAGTTATTTTGTATGTCAGGTTTATAGGATTTTACAAGATGAACTAACAATATTCTTTCTCAAGGAATTTCCAATCAAACAAGCAAAATCCAATTTCTAAAGACCTTAAATGTTTCCTTAGCATTTTAAAATGTTAAATAATCACGAGGAAAGTAGTGATAGAAATAGAGTTATATAAAAATAAAAATTCAGAGAAAATGCAATTCTCTCTTTAGTCATGGTCTTTCAAGCTGTTATTAGAATAACTCATAACAGAACTTTTTTTTTTTAATGGACACAATACCTTTGTTGTATTTATTTATTTTTATGTAGTGCTGAGATCGAACCTAGTCTCACACGTGCTAGGCAAATGCTCTACTGAGCTACAACTCCAGCCCCATATAAAAATCCAGAAATCATTATAAAACTTGTAATTAATATTAGGATTTTTTACAACTGTTCAATAGGAATTGGGACATGAGCTGCAGAATGGCAGCGATATAAAAATCTGAAATAATAAATGAAAAAAAATTCCTTTAAGTATATGAAATTTTGTTTATAAATATGGCTAATTCTAAAGTCTAATAAATCTGCTTATCTTTATTTGAGACAAAGATTAGGCAGATTCAGTTTCTTTGGATTTCACTAACTCCTGGTATTATTTCTAGCTATTATCAGTTTTCCATTATAAATATAAAATTATAGCTATTAGAATTCTTGAGATTTGGCCTAACTGTCCCTGCTTTCACAAAGGGCCAATTTTCATTTAGCCTGAACATGACAAGCCATGACAGGGTAGTGATGAAAATAAGAGAGCTAAAAAGAGAATAGATAGAAAGTAAAATAAAGAATAGGATCAAAAATAAAGGGGACAAAGAATAAGATGAAACAAACAAAAGCAAAATGTTCTTTCAGAATATTCCTGTCACAAATGGGTACAAGAGAAAATTACCTGAACTGTATAAGCATTCAGCTTGTAAAGAAGACTATTAAACTAAAAATGTACACCAAACCAAATTATACCCACAATTTCTGTCACAGTGTTTAACATCTAACATATGCTCGAATGAGACTGACTCACTCACCTTATCAAGTTCACTTGTCAACTTTTTATTTTCTTCAGTTAGTAACACTTTTTCTCGTTCATACTGTTGTTTAAACTCATTTTCAAATTCTTCTCTTTCACTTTGACTAACCCAATTGAAAATATTAAAAAAAAAAAGAAACAGAGTCAAAGGTCAGCAGAAAACAAATTAGTTTTGCAAAAATTACATAACATACATAAATTCAGACTGAACTATAGGAACATTATTTACATACAACACAACATGTTCACATGCAATGAAAGGCCTAATAAAATACTTTCCAAGAATTTATTTATTTATTCCAATAGTTGCTGATTGGTTTATTAAATCACGTAACCAATATTTATAGAATGTCTAGTAGGTGCCAAGAAATAGTGAGCCCTACAGATAGGTTCTACTCTCACAGCAATGAAAAGTGAGTACATGAACTAATTTCAGATAAGTTCTATAAAGAAAATAAAATGAAAATGCTATACACACTATCTGGGGTGGGATGGCTAATATATATTATATATTTAGGGAAGATCCTATCAAGACTAATGAAATAAAATGTCAAAATGGAAGTAATACTTATCTTCTGCTTCATATTCATTAAAATTAATTCAAAGACAAATTAGTCTGAGTTCAAATTAGATACTTTTTTTGTGTGTATTTGTATCAAAATATCCTTAGAAAATACAAAGTCATGGGCCCTTCCTTAAGATTGGTCTAGTCACTTCCTAGTTTTACTAAAAATTGTATTTTACAGTCCTTGATAATATTTTGAAATAAACTTATATATGAACTCAGATATTTTTAAAAATTGACTTTGAAATAATTTCAGCCTTGTAGAAAAGGTATAAATATAGCGCAAAGAATTCTTGCATCCTCTTCACCCGGGTTCTCCAACTGTTAACATTTTACTTTATTTGTTCCATTACTCTGTGTGTTTAATGATTTCATTATTGTTGTGAACCACTGAGAGGTAGCTGCAAATATTACTTTCTTACCTCTAAATATCTAAATATCTCAAGATCAAGGGCACTCTCTAACATAAGCAACCCTCTGAATTAAAAGATTCACCCTTACCAGAACACTACTGTCTAAAACCACAGACCATAGTCAAGGTTTGGTGACCATCCCAACAATGTCTCCTTTTCTTATCTAGTACAGGAATCAACTGTATCTCTTCACTTTCCCTTGGTCTAGAACAGACCTCATCTTCTCTATCTCTCACAACTGTTTTTAGACTGCAGGCTTCTCATTGGGTGACCCCTCAACCTAAATTTGTCAGACTTAAATATTTCATCCTTGGCTGAAATATCACAAGAATAATGCTACACTCTTCTCAGTATATCCCATCAAGAGGGAGGGACAAATGTTGATATGCACAACAATGACCAAACCTTTTTTTTTTTTAAATAATCCCCCAAAATATTATTAAGCAGCAAATGGCTTAAGGCAGTGCAAGATGAATAAAGTTTTGGTTGATGGACTGATTTGTTTTAAAGAATTTATCAGAAAACAGATGAAACATACACTGCTAGGTTGAGTCCTAGAAGCTTGGACCCAATGGTGGCCTACAATCAATGAGTTTGAAGTGTGGAACCTCTCTGGCTTATAGTCAAGAGTCTGCTGGCTCAGGGAGATAAGAATGTTAAAGATTGGCTCTGTTGTGTGCTAACTGCTCAGCCACTCCCTGAGTACACTTGAAAACACTCCTTTTACCAAGGCATTAATAAATATATTAGTAAGAGGGAAGACTGGTATTCTAAAAAAGCATTGTGGAAGGTGTCCTCTGAATCTGCAGATGATACTATAAAATGTCACAACAGAAACTCTTCTACTAAAAAAATGATATTCCAGATTGGCTGTTGTACTCACTGATTTACTTAACTTACAGCTTGAATATTCCAATTTCCCTCAAAATTAAAAGTCACACTCGTGGGCTTTTAATCAATAGACTTGTCAGTTTAAAAGCACAACTTATTTTTTTTTTATTTGAAAATGTGGGCTGGGGTCATGGCTCAGTGGTAGAGCACTTGCCTAGCATGTGTGAGGCACTGGGTTGATCCTCAGCACCACATAAAAATAAATAAGTAAAACAAAGGACTATCAACAAC